AGTGACCAATCAGGAAAATGTCAGTACAACCATGTCTACTGGCCAGTTTGATGCAGGCATGGTCTCTAAATCGAGTTTTCCTCTTCCTAGATGTGTCAACCAGACAAGCAAGATGAGCCATTACAATTGATGTGAGCTGCTTTGTCTTCAGCATATTCTGGAAGCTGTGGGGTCTCTAGCAGAGAGATTTTGTTCTAGAGAAAAAACATTTGAGTTCTTTCAAATAGAGGGGTAGATCTCTATCCATTTGGAAGGAGAGATCTCTATCCATCTTGAGAAACCATTATAAAACAGCAAAAGGTGTTAACATCCTTTCCAGGGATACATTTGAGTCAAACTGAATTGCTCATCTTTTCTCCGGAAGGGGCCTGTCCTTTATACTACCTTAAAGAAAAGTTGTGGCTTAATTCTACCTGAAAAGTAAATTATAGAGACAGAGTAAACAGCCTTCTACCTGTTTTCTGTTATAGACTCATAGCCTTATAGTCCTTTTTCTCTTTAATAAAAACGACAAGTGGGTAGGACAGTTCATGTCTGAATGTGAAGGTAACATGAGTTATGAGGTTCCTTAACATTTTTTTCATTTGAGCAATAGAATTTTATGCTCCCCTGAGCCTGAGTCCACCAGGCATTTTCAGTAAGTTTATACCCTTGCTGTGCTGCCTGCCCATTTTCTCTCGTTCCTATGTAAGATATGCTTAGGTTTTATTTTGGGACAGTTATCGAGGCCATTTTTGTCATTTCCTCTACCCATTTTGCTGTATACCTGCTATAGTTTGTAAGTGTCCTACTTATCTGCATGCTAGCTAGAGAGTGGAGGAAAGTCAGCTAAGAGTGTTGGGAATGTCCCTTAAGTTTTAGGTGAGGACTCCCAGTGTTATGCCTTGTTATGGGACAAGGTGAGCCTGGCAACAAGGATTTCTTCAACTTTGAGGCATTTCCAACAGTTATTTAATAAGGAGTTCTAGTTCTACCAAGTGAGGCCACATTTACATTTTTATTGTCACATTAAAAGTTATCCAGGGCACCTTGGTGGTCATTTGTACTCATTGGAGACCAGCTTTCAATAGGAAACCAGGGACAGCTTTTGTCCTTAAGAATGTCACCCACCATTGTGTCTGAAGGTCTGTCCTCTCCGCAGAGGGACAGTCTCTTTTGTAGAGTGGGGAAAGCCACACTTTCTTAGAACACTGTTGGAGAGTAGTTCTTTTCCTGTGTTTTGGTTTTCCACAGCTATGGCAAGCATTACCCTTTAGAAACTTCTGTCTGGGATTTCTCTGAAGTGGCAGGTACCTTATTAGCCTGGTGAAATATATTATTCCTCATGGTTTCGGCTATCAATCTGGCTAGTTCTTTTGTCTGCGGTTACTTTCCCGGGACATTTGGACTGTCTCTGTTTTATCTCTGTTGTGAAGAATTGGAGTGTCTGGAGTGGCCCCACATCCTTTTGCAGCTCCTTCCTGACAAATGGGCATACTGACCCATGAAATACTTACCTAGCAAAGATGTGACACTTAGAATTTTTAATTAGCATTAGCTATAGTAAACTTAACCACGTGCATTTCTAGTCACTGAGTTCTATAGTTCATAAACCCTTTCGTGACTTGCCTGGACCTACTGTAATATGAATAAGTATTCCCATTTTGTCTTCCCTTTTTTTTTCTATTTCCCTTTTGGAACATTCCTTTGCTTAGGTCAAAACTACCATGTGAAATCCAGTCTCCTCTAAAGCCATTGCTTTTTTACCTTTAACCTTCCTTACCAAAAAACATACCTCACCTATCGCTCTCTACTTCCTTTTCTTCATGGTTCCCATCTATCTTCTTTGTCTTTAGAAAACATGGTTTTTCTTAATAAAAAAAAAAAGTCTAGTCCAATGAAAACACAGGAAGTTACACATGAAATGCAGATAACACACACTAACACTCCTAGAGGTATTTCTAGCTTGCTCTAATGAAAGGGAGGATAAAGGTCTGGTGTGTCTGCTTCATTTTGTGTTCGTTTCCTTCTCTCAAGTGTATCTGGTTACTTCTACACATTAGCATGAAGAACCATGAGGACAAGCCTTGCTTTCACTGTATTTGTAAAAGGGAACTGGATCTCAACTGTATTTAAACATATTAGGATTAAGTTCATGTAATATCATTTGTAAGATTCAGATCACACAGCGTAGGCACCAATGATTTTGTCTTAAAATGATTTTTTTAATCTAAAATTGGTCAAGATAAGGTCTTAGTAAAAAAAAATAATCTGTTTTGTGTTTCTTAAAAAAAAAAAAACAGTAGCAAGCAGCGGGGAAAGAAAGCTCAGGCAGACAGGCAATAGCAGCTCCCATTTCTTCGTGCCGTAATAGCAAGTTTAAAAAGCATCATAGAGGGTGGGATCCGGCTTGGCAGGTAAGGGTGCTTGCTGTCAAAGCCAAAACCTCGAGTTCAATCACTGGAACTCACATGTTAGATGGAGAGAATCAACTCCCTCCAGAAATCTCTTCTCTGACCTCCACACATACACCATGGCAAATGCACGTCTGCCACACAAAACAAATCAATAAATATAATGAAAATCATCCTGGAAACATTTACCTTTACATCTCAAGTTAGGCATGCCAAGAATAGTAATTTCATCATAAAGTAAGTTGGAATATGAAAGGAAGATTTAACTATCATGGATCTTACTACTCAGTTTCAGCAATTTGGGAAGCAGATTGAGTTTTGGCCCAGGCAAAAATCATACCTAAAAACAATTATGTGAAAGCAATTATAAACATACATGACAGAATTACATTAAATCAGTCTGGGCAATTAATTGAGCAGAGTAGAAAGTTTACACCTCTACATCTTTGAGGTGAAAGAAAGGCCCCAAGGAAAGCAAAAGGAGTAGCGAGGTGAAGCTTGTTAAGTAGACTTAGGTTAATATCTTTTCCTGTTCAGGAGATAAAAGGCAGAGGGAAGGGCATCTTGGATAACCTTAATATTGTAAAGAGCTCAATTAGCCTGTTGAGAAACACCCCCTTCCTTAAGTGACCTCTCTGATCTTGCCAGAGTTAACAGATTTCTTAGTGTATTTTTCATCCCTGTTAGGAGTCTATGCACACGATCTATGGCATCTCCGGGGGTTCTGTAATCCCAAGCAGTGCTTCCTGATCTGGGTGTGTCTGTACTGTGGGAAGATGGTCAATAGGGTTTGAGCAAGTCACTCATTTGCATGTCCCCTAACTTCCACCCAGGTCATCTTTCCCCTTTGAGGTATAAAAAGCAGTCAGAACCAAGTCCAGCTCTCTCTATTGTGAAAGAGGATTCCCGTAAAGAAGCTGTGGCTGGCTACAAAGGCTCACTGAACCATCAAAATGAAAAGCCGGAGGACTGGGGAGTTTGTCATGAGACTCTCTCCTAGTGATGTCAGAAGGTACACCCATAAAGTCTCATCAGCATGACTGCCTACACATGAGCTGAACAAGGACCACACCAAAGACATGCTCAACAGAAATGGGTGTGGGAAAGATTAGGAGGCCTCAACCCTACACAAAGAACAATAGGCGACTAAGTAATGCTGAGAGTGTGAGAAATAATCTCCAGGAAGAACACATACTGGTTATTCAATGCCAAATGGTCAGTCCTGGAAACATACCTACAAGTTACATTATAAAGAGTGAGCAGGTTGTATTTAAGAATATATATGCATATACCTATATATGTATAGCAACAAGCAATGAAAAGGAGTTCATGGATTTGAAAGAGAAAAAAGAGGGGGACACAGAAGAATTTGGAAAGAGAAAAAGGAAAGGGAGAAATAACATGATTTCATTATAATTTCAAAATTAAAAAGAAGCACCCCTTCAATGCCTGTCGAGAATTTGGAATGCTGCATGTTCAGCCCCTGTGTTATCTGTCCAGGGACCACATTCTGCAGTAACTATCACAAGACTGAGATACAAGCCCTTGTTCTAGGGATCTCTCAGCTTAAGTCTTTCTACTTGGATGGAACAAAGTGTCTCTCCTCTGAGGCTCTCAAACAGCTCAAGAGGTTAGGCCCATCAGAGAAGAGGCTTGTCCTCACAAATGGCTCTGGTCTCTTTTTCCATATTGCCATTCATGTGTTTTCATGAACATCACATTTCAGGAAGTGTCTTACTACCTGGGAGACTAAATCCAGACTTTTGCTGCCAGAATTGCATGCAGTAAATGAGCAGAAACACACACTGAAAATTGGTAGAGAGTGGTGACATAGAAAGACAGTAGGGATACACGGAACAAGTTCAGCAAGGCGTCCAGAAGAGGTTGAGAATGGGGAGAGGCATGGGAGGTTCCACCAGCTCAGGGGAGCAGTTCAGGATCTAGTAGAGGCAGTCTGGGCTGGATATCCCCAGACCTAGGGCTGCCCTATCACATGCATGGCACATTTATTACATCTGGGCCTGTAGGTCAGACTCCCAAACACCCAGGTTTCCTGGCCACTGTGACTTGAATCCTTAGTGCTTGACTATCCACGAGCACCAGATAGCTCCCTCCGCCTTCTGCCAAGGGTCTCCAGCGAGGATGTGAAGGGAGGTGAAAGCAAAGGGAGGAAGCAGGAAGGAAAGGATGGCTGAGGAGGAGACTCATTATGGGAGAGAGATGGGGAAAATATTCAAGGCTTCCTTGTCATTTTTAGTCCTTAACAGGGAGCTGATAGAGGAGTGGGACAGTGTGTTGTTCTGAAGGGTACCTTGGTGAGGACTAACTTCTCACCTTGGCACATGACCAGATAATCCTGTCCAGGTGATTTTCAAGCAGCTGGTGTCCCAATAGCCCTTGAATGGTCCCCTCCCTCTGCTCACAGTTTGAAGCAGCTCCTATCAGTCACCCCAAAATGAGTTGGAAGTTTAAGAGATTAGAAACACAAATCTTGCCTCCTGGCTAGTTCACCAACTGACATTACCAGTTAATGTCAGGTTGCGAGGACATCACTATAGGGGTTTCAGGCCCTTATATCCACAAAGGATTGAGCAGAAAACACAGGTATAGCTAAATCAGAGTTACTTTATTGAGAATATTCTTCCAAGAGAAGAGCCAAGGGCGGTAACATGGAGGAAGCCTAGCAACTTTGTTCACTATAAACTTTTCTCTTTCTTTCTTTCTTTCTTTCTTTCTGTCTTTCTTTCTTTCTTGTCACCCATCTGCCTTTATTATAAACAGCAGGTGGGACACTTGTAGCAATAGCAAAAAATTAATTTACAAAGGCAGGGACTTGATGAAGCTTCCTGGGGTGAACTTTATTTTCTAAGATGTATTTTGCTTTTTGTTTTACGTATCTGAATATTTTGCCTGCATGTATGTCTATATACCACGTGCTTGCCTTGTGCCCATGGAAGTCAGAAAAGGGTGTCAAATCCTCAGAACTGGAGTTATAGATGGTTGTGACCCACCGTGTGAGTGCTGGTAATCAAACATGAATCTTCTGCAAGAGCAGCGAGTACTCTTAACCACTGAGACATCTCTCCAGCCAGAGTTCTGAATATTTTCTTGGTTTAGCATGAATTTTTTATCTATTTGCATAATGCTAACTTTTCTAAGCACACTCAATCTGTTATATGTTCAACTTGCAACTTCTCACGTCATACGTCTAATCAGCATTTTAAGTCTCTGCCCAGGGTTGTGTTTTAGAATTATACTGAGCCATAAGTTACTCTTGGACAATGAAGAGTCACTACATCAAATTGGCAGTGAGTCTTAGTTGGCCTTGACTGGAGTGATTCTTGACTCTTTCTTTGCCAACCTGTATTTTTCATAGGCTAATTTTAACTACTGCCTCACTAGGTACCAGGGTTATTACAGTTGATTGAATTATAATATTATCTCAAGGGAGTTTTTCTTTACATTGGAATCTTTAACACATTACTGTTTATGAATATCTTACACAGCACTATACAAAGAGTTATCAATACAAATACAAAGTATACAAATATGATACCAATATCAAATGATAAAAAAAACTCTAGATAGTTGGCAATCAAACCAACTACAATCTCAAAAATTTGCTTATCTAAGTTAATAAAAGTGCAGTTATATCATATTGACAAACTTCCAAATACTAACATCCATCTTTTTTCTCTAAATTGATTATTAAAATGAAGGCAACAGATCATCAAACCAGCCGGGCTCTACATTCTCCCCTTCTTAGAAGGCTGATTCAAGATGCCAACTAAGCCAGAAAGCCTTCTTCAAATAGACCTCAAATCTATCCATCAGCAGCTATGCTAGCCTGGTGTCACCAGTTGTCACTCCCAGCAGACAGATCAGTTCTAGTGATGATGAGATCTCTTTCCCTAAGTAGTCTTGGGGACACTGACATTCTTACTCTCCAGAGTCCCATAACTCATCCTAATGCTAATCAGTATTGCTCAAACAACCATTACCTAAGACTATGGTATAATAATCATATCGGTTGTCTTGTTTCCAGACCGTAAATAGCTCTTTACAGTTCCACTAAGGATAATCCTGCTCCCACCTGTTCTCAGAACTTGAAGCAACCTCTAATTGTACAGTTCTACTGAGTTACTGGTGGAAATGCACAGTAACATCCTAACCTGGCTACACCAGTGATGTCCATTTATAAGACATTTGTTTTCTAAGTGGAGCTGGAATTCTCTCGACACAGATATCCATTGTTTTATTGAAGGTAGCAGATCTGCAATTGACGTTTACATCCTGAAGAGTCAATACAGTTCTGGAGGTCTTCGGTTGGTGTTGTTGCTCAGGGAGTAATTTATAAAGAAAATAAATTTATTTATAATTCTTCAAATTTGGACGTCCAGTATTAAGGTGTTAGCATCTGGGTTGAGCCTTTTTCGTAGAGCATCCCTTGGCAAAAGTCTGAAGGTCAAGAGAGGTCAAGAGAAAGAGAATGTACTTTTAGAACAAACCAGTTTCCCAGTAATTAACCTACTTCCATAATGTTGTGGAAGTTTTCAACACAATTGCTTCTTCTGAGGGGTTTGCCCTCCAACACTATTAAACAATGTTTCTAATACATGAGCTTTAGGGCTGCATTCAAGTCTGTGAATGTGAGAACTGTTAAATCTGACAAGCCATCCCCTGAAATGACAGTGAGAGAGGTGAGCATTATGTCAGTCAAGTAAATCTGCAGGTAAATGGGGGAAATCAAACAGAGGATTTCTTCTGTAAGACAAGCACAAGATTTCGCTTGCTGGCTGATGCTTCTGAAGAAGACTAGAAGCAAGAAAATGAAACCAAGTCAGAATAACCACTTTTATCTTAAGCAATGATGTTACTTGGTTCTGTACAAGTGGGGATGGGGAGATCCAAGCCATCACTATATTTGTGATCATAGATCTATGAATCAGTTATAAAATAATAGTGATACAGCCTGGGTCATGTCAGCCAACTTTAATCTGCCTTCTAGATGTCCCTGAGTTTTAAGGTTTTTGTTTTGTTTTGTTTTGTTTTTTTTTTCCGAGACAGGGTTTCTCTGTAGCTTTAGAGGTTGTCCTGGAACTAGCTCTTGTAGACCAGGCTGGCCTTGAACTCACAGAGATTAACCTACCTCTGCCTCCCGAGTGCTGGGATCAAGTCTCAGTTCTACTCCTTACCTATGTTCAGATTAGGGGAACATGATGCAACAAAATAAACTAAACTATACATTGTGTGTGAAGTATGTCAAAATTTTCTATTGTGTAATGAAGGAGCAGGAATAGGTTTGAATTCTCTGACCTTTGGTCAGGGTGGAGCGCATCCACCTCTATGGGCCATGTTAATGTCTAAAACACCAAATAACCACACCCTAGGTCAGGATTGGTAGCCACAGCTGTTGTCAACAACTTTGAAAGAGCAAAAGTAAGCTCAAACTCTCTGACCTCCAGTCTGGGTGGGATACGTTTACATCTGTTGGTCCCCACAATGTTGTATGTCATATCCATTGGAGTTATCACCATTCATAGCACTCTCATCAACAGAGACAGGGTGTGTTTCTAAAAGAAAGAAAGAACAGAATAAATCTCTCTTTCTAGGAATTTGCAATCTTCCTCTTTCCCACTTCTTTGTAATCATGAGAATCACCTTGGTTACTTTTCTCTTTACATATTATCTCAACAAACAATATTAAAAATACTTTCACTGTAGCAATATGGCATCCAAAGTAGCAATGCGTTTCTATGATTGATTCAAGTGCTCCAAAGAGGAGAATAAATACAAGTCAAACAATGAGAAATTCTTGGTTCACTACAGCTGTTGGCCAGGTTTCCACCAAGCACTAACAAAGGAAATATCCTGCAAAGGAAGGGCTGAGAGTGGCAGTTAGGGGACAAGAATAGAATGCCATTTGTCAGGGAAGACCTTCTTTCTTAGCCTTGCTGAAAACTCTGAACCATCTAAACTTAGCCTAGAGTAAGAGCATTTTAAGCAATAGAAAACTGAATTAAAAATCAAAACATATGAACCATAGCATATTAAACAACAACCGGGAACCTGGAGACAGGTTATATTTTATAGGATTTAGTATAAGAGCTCCAAATATATCTTCATTACCTCTAACTACAGAAGTGTAGGGATGTTTTTCTGTCAACTTAGTGGCTTTTCTTGAGTCCACTGATATTTTAAGCATTGTTGCAACCTCGATATGTGTGTGTAAACTAAGTTTCTATCATTCTATTTGCAAACAAAGACTTGGAAGTCAGATGGGGGGTGTAAAAATCTGCTAGATCAGAAAACCTGAGAAGCAACCAGCTGAAATTGCTTTTTGGCCCACTTGTCCCAAAAACTAAAAAGAAGCACCAAACTCTAGTAATGCCATTTCCTTCCTTTTCATCTTCTCCATCCAAATTCCTGGCTTCTCTATGGCTAATTCATGTCAGGTAGTTGCTGGCCCTGCTTATCCCCTCCCCTGTTCAAGGATAACACTCTCAGAGTATCACAGGGCAATCAGGTGTCATATAACAATAAAGAACATTTCTCTTTATGTTCAAGAAGAACATACCACCCTTACCTGAATTGAGATTGTTTACTTCGTCAGAACCACATTGCACTTCTTCCTCTGGCTGGGGAACCTGGACGCGTTGGTCTCCAGGGGCAGAGTATGTGTATGTGCTAGTCCCTAGTTTGGTTGCAGATCAGAGGGAAGAAAGGGATAAGTATGTATGCATCCCCCGCCCCCCAGATTCTCCCTTGCATACTCTTCTTACTTTGGCTGTGTCTTCTCACTGAAGGTCACTCTAACCTAAGGGAGTGATTTGATGTGACTCCCAGTTGCAGGATTGGGGAACTCTTCTCTCTCCTTGACACCTCAAGTTTAAGTTCGATTCTGATTCAGGTGTGGAAAGCTGGGGGGTGGGAGGCGGTGAACGCATTATTCTATGATAACTTTGTAAGTTCTGAGTGTTCTCTGTGTTTTTCTGTAGACCTGGATGTGGGCAGATTTCCAGTGCAGAAGCTGTCATTGCTAAGCAGCATGTGACACCCCATCTCCCATAATTTGAATTTAATCCAACCACAGGACCATTATCATAACCCAAAGGATGGACCCGGAAACAAGTTAGACTACTTGAGATGCACCATCTCTGATTATTTCTAGTCAATTAAGTGGAGGGGGTAACAATCAAGGCCAGCCTGCTTATTAGACTGGATGATCACAAGGTCAAAGTTGGTGAAATGATCCTGTGATGTCACCTTGAAACCTCATTCTCAATAATGGTTTTCCAGTAACCAAAATCTTTTACTTGCAAGAAACACATGCCTGGAACATGAGATTTATCTGAGCCCCCAGGAAACCCAGGGCTTTCTTGGGGGCCAGATGGTGCTTTTTTAAGCACTGTGCTGCTGTTGACACTAGTGGGCACAGGGATAGCTAGTGAACAGTCACACAGACCTGTTTCCTGAGTCTGCTTGGTGCTTGAACACCTTCCTGGATTCACATTTCCTGGATTGTGGAAGTAAACTAATCCCTAGTTTGAACAGATTCCTTCCAGGTCAAGTTCTGATCATTGATGCACATTTCAATAGAAATCTAAGGATGGGTGGTCACAGTATCTGAAGGCATTGTTTTAAGTGATTATTGTACAATTCAAGTTTGTTTCACAAAAATTAAGAAAATCATTTTTTGATATGTCAAGGATTTCAAAAAATGACTCAAAATTATAGCAATTTTTGAAAGCATCATACATAGAACAAGGTCTGTGCAGCACACAGCTGAGTCTGGGGACATGAAGGAATTACCTGCATGAGGTGGAGGGTGGAGAATTAGGACTTAGGAATTATGCTGACCTGTCACCTGGTAGGATGCATTCAGGCAGTATCCTGACCCACCCAGGTTCCTATGACTGCTATGTCACTATGTAATCTGTGCACACGTGCAAAAGGTTCCTTTAAGAGACAAGCTCTGCCCATTTCAGTTCTCTTTCCCACTGTTCTTCAGAAGAGACAAGCAGGTCTCTGTCCCCTTCTCTCTTTTTCTCTCTGTCTCTCTTTCCTCCCCCATTTCCTTTATCTCAATAAACTCCTCACTTAAGCTCTGTCTGCAGGGTGTTATTTGTCTCTCGCCCACCCTAAGGCCTCTGGGTTCTCACCCACTCATGTCTTTTGCACGCAGAATCATAACAAGGAAATCCATGATCTAATCACTACAAAGAAAACTTTTTACAGCTTAGTTTTATTTCCTTCTAGCTATTTTTTCAGTGCAAGCTGATCAGATCATTCTGTTTACTATTTTAAATAATAATTTGAATTTTTTGTAAAAGAGCACCTATGATGTTCAATTCATTAAACCATCTTCCCTACTAGTGATTAAAATAGTGAAAACCTGGAAATATTCACAGGAAGATACAGTAATTGTGCTTATATATGCCTTAACGTGCCTCTGACCTCTTGCTCGGAACAAATTTTAAGAAGCAGAATGCATAGGTGAAAATGCAAAAGACTGTTAATGGATTTTGATAAATTTTAGAATGACTTGCAGAAAAATAAGGTGTTTACATCCACAGCCAGCAGTAATATAGGTGCTTTGTTAAAGTCAAATTCTCCATATTACCTTCAGCGTCATTGGAGTCTCTTCTCACTTTAGAGTAACAGCAGTATGCTGCTAGCGACATCAGAAGCAGTAAAAATGAAATCCAAGTTCCAACACGTGTTCGTTGTGAAAGACTGGAGGCTGAATAAAACAAAGCAACAAGGGCTGTGAACTGAAGGGAACATACCAAGTGAAACAAACGTGAGAAGGCTAGTGTCCCAGACAGATGTCTACTATTTTAAGATTGGTAATAGTGGCAAAGGGGACAGAATTAATATGGAGAATGATTCACAGAGTAAAAAAATCCCTCAAAAAAATTTTAAAAGAAATAGCATAAGTAAACCATTGGTATAAATATGAGGCTGTTCTCAGCCTCTCTGTTATAAGAAACTTAGGGACACTATAAGGTCAATCAATTTCGGTCTAGGTAGATGGAAAAATTAGGAGAGAAAAAAGTTTGAAAGCTCAAACAGCAAGCACTCAACTCTGCATTTTAATTTTCTATTGTTTTATATCATATCAGGAAATTAATTTTTTTTTTTTTTTTTTTAGAAAAAGGACAGATTAAGAATGGAAACCTGTGTTAGCCTGTAGTTCGCCTCAGACCCTCATGCAAGAATCTTTCCACACTGGTCTGGAGAAGACAGTCCTAAGGGAAGAGTGATAGGATGTTCATAGTAATGAGATAAAGGCCTGGGGCTGATGGGGAATCTCATCAGCCAATAATCTTTAAGAGGTGAGACCAGGTTAGGGCATGACCTTTTGGGTACCCAGAGAAAAACACGGGGTGGCCCAGGGTTTGCTTTCTCTATGGTTCCTGTACTACTCAACTGGGTTTGGACTTCTTGTTCTTGTTTCATGAGTTTGCCCCTTATAATAAAGAAAAATAGAATTGGTTTGGTTTATCTTGGGGTTAGCCTACTATTATTTGACCTGTGTTATTTAATGGAGATATATTAAACTGATATGTAAGAGTTAGCTAATAAAAAGTTAGAGCTAATGGGCCAAGCAGTGATTTAATTAATATAGTTTTGTGTGATTATTACGGGAGTCTAAGCATCCAGAAACCAACCAACAAGCAGTCTCCTACAACAAATTGTCATGTCAATGTGGTTAACTAAATCTACATAAAACCTATAAAGTTAAAAAGGAATCCTGGACACAAGAAAACAGTTAAGCAATGTTGCCTTGAACACCCCTCAAAAAAATTACTTTGCCCAATAAACATAAAAAAAAGTTTGGACAGAACTACACCCATATTCCCAAATATTGTCTATAAATGTTTATTTACATTTAAAGGGGGAATATGCTATAGAGATTTGCATTGGTATGGATCTTGGCTTATTTATACAAATTTAAGGTCAATTTTGTTATACATATTTCTGCTCTTGATTAAGGTATTATGTTTGTGCAACTCATTTAAAAGTGTAATGTATAATTAAGAAATACAGGTTAATAGAAAAACAACTATAATAGTTAAGTTGTAATCATGTTAGGTTTTCTAGATATATAGAGATATATTTCAATTAGATACATATTCTTCAAATCTTTTTGAGACCTTCAGTATATGGCATTTAAAATGTTTAAGTACTTAGGACTTTTCATGACAATGAGACACATCTGCTCTAGGCAGCACCAATTACTTCAAGAGAAAGATGGGTATCGAAGAGGTTCCTTATGGAGTTGGTTAGCCATTTGGGAAAGAAAGTGCTCTTTCCTGGACTGTTGCATAAAATGGATATGCAGTACCCACAGAGAGATGACTGCTGAACTTGCCTAAAAGTGAGATGATCCTTCAAGGTTCCAGTTTCATGAAAGAGTCTCCCAGACGTTCTTTGGGATACAGAAAAAAGTGACTGACAAATTGCCAATATAGACAAAACTGTCTTTAAAATTTCCTGCTTTATGGAAAGGTCTGCTGGATACTATGGATCTGTAGGCTAAAGATGGATGACCCAACAGTACAGAAAAACTTTGCATGACTGTCTAAGTAGCAAGATGTTTCTGTCATTCCTAGAATTTTGAAAGTTGCTTACAATGTTCTTTCTGTTTCCTTCTGGAGTCTTTGATGGAGTTGAAGAACTTATATTTACAGTTATAGTTTTCCTTAGTTATAATAAAATATAAAGTAGATATAAATATTGTAACTGTAATTATTGCTTGATATCTCTTTTGTTATATGTAATTTTACTATGTTAAAGTTAAAAGCTTCCTTTTATGTTTAAACAGTAAAGGGGAGGTGATGTGGGATTCCCCTCTTTATGCTGTGAATATCATTGGTTAATAAAGAAACTGTCTTGAGCCATGATAGAGTAGAAGAGAGCTGGGTGGGTAAAGCTAAGCTAAATGCTGGGAGAAAGAGTGGAGTCAAAGAAAAGCCATGTAGCCCTGCTGGAGACAGATGCCGAAAATTTTCCCGGTAAACCACAGCCATGTAGCAATATACAGATTAATGGAGGTGGGTTAAATAAACATGTAAGAGTTAGCCAATAAGAAGCTAGAGCTAATAGGCCAAGCAGTGATTTAATTAATATAGTTTCTGTGTGATTATTATGGGAGTCTAAGCAGCCAGGAACCAGCAAGCAGCCTCCTCCAGCAAACTGGTAAAGGGGTTTGGATTACTAAAGTGAGACCCAGCTGATCTTACAATCCTACCATATAGTAGGTGGTATTAGAGCACAAAGGCTGAATTAGGGTAGAAACAATGTTTATGCATTGTTCTTTAAAATGATTATCTCTATTTATATGTCACAAAGAAACAGTTCTGAATACAGCTATTATTTAATAAGTCTGCATTCTAACAAGGAAAATATTAATCTTTCATTCAGTTGTTAATTCTGAATATCTGGCTCTTGTGAGGAGGAAGAGTTTAGGTAGAGAGGACAAGTTCAATTTCTAATATGTATCCAGATGTATGTTTTCCCTTCTGAAAATAGATCTGGAACAATATAATTACTTCACATTTTTTTCTTTGGCTTGTAGTTCCTTCCAGAGTGAAGAAATAGATAAAAAGTCACATATTAACTCAGAAAGACAATTTAGACAAGATTACTTAGGTCCCTTCAGTTCACTGAAACTTTCACTGAACAGATCTAAACACTAGGAATTCAAAGTGGATTTCCAGTTTGCATGCTGTGGCCTCACAATAACACTTTCTCCAGCAAAACTACATCTAGTCCAACAAGGCCATACCTCCTAATACTCATAATAGTGCCACTTACTATATGCCAAGCATTCAAGCACTTGAGTCAATTGGGGTCATATTTATTCAAAGTACAATACTGCCTCATGCTTGTAGATCAAGATGTAACCTCTCAGCTACTGCTCAATGTCATGCCTGCTGATCTACTGCCATGCTCCCTGTCATGGTGGTCATGGACTTACCCTCTGAAACTGTAAGGCTCTCAATACGCTTTTTTGTTCTATATGTTGCCTTGGTCATGGTATCTTAGTACAACAATAGAAAAAGTAACTAAGAGAGAAGTTGGTACTAAGGAGTGGGGCCGTGCTGTGACCAACATGACCATGCTGGTTTTGAAGAAATGGAGCAGATTTGGGGATTTTGGACTAGGAAAGGGGTTGAATACTATAAGCAGGCCTAAGTGGGCTGTTATTATAGGAGCTTGGAAAACATGACCCCACTCAGAGTCCTGCAGCTTCTGAAAAGAAAGAACTTGATCCTAAAGAGCAACAACAAATGAAACTTAAGTTAGTGCCATTCAAAGGGGGTCAAAAAGTCAGCAGAACTTGGCAGCACTGGCCACAGGGTTCTAGTTTTAAAGTCAGGAAAGATACAGGAGTAAGAGGTTGTGGAATTTTTCTCTACAGTTAAGGAGAACTATTGACCCACTCTACTAGAGACCTTGCAGACTGGGAGAAGTCTAGGTGGTCACCCCTCCCCATAAAATTCCACACTTTCTCACTATCTCAGCACCTCCCCACACTATCCTTAGTTCCGTGCCCTACTTTCTGTGCTTCAACCTCTAATAGGGCCAGAGATTCCCTGCTCAGGGAATTGGGAGAAGCCCAAGTATGCTGCCAGCCCACCAAACTCCCCCAATCATACACCATCTCAAGTTTCCTCATTTCCATCACCAGTCCCGCACCCTCCTAATTTTTTTTCCTAACTTCCAAATGGAACAGATACTCCCCGATCCACCAGAGACCACACAGATTGGAAGAAGTCCAGGCTACCCAGACCATAAGACCAGAGAGGAAACAGAAACCAAGGAACAAAACACCCATCCAAAAAGACAAACTCAACAAAGACAAACTCTTATGCTGTCTAGAAGTCAGCATTAAAACACAGGAAATAACAGTCTAGGAAATATGTCACCACCAGAGTCCAACTATTCTACTACAGCAAGTTCTGAATATTACAACACAAGAGAAGCACAAGAAAAAGACCTTAAAGTCAACTTTATGAAGATGATTAAAGACGTTAGGGAGGAAATGAATAAATCCTTCAAGAAAATTCAGGAAAATACAAACAAACAATTGGAGGAAATGAATAAATTTCTTAAAGAAGGCCAAATAAAAAGAAAGAAAAGTGGTATGAATAAAAATAGCCCCAACAGGTTCTTATATTTAAATGCTTGGTCCTTGGTGAAACTATTTGAGAAGGATTAGGAGGTGTGGCTTTGTTGGAGAAGGTGTGTCTCTGTGGGTAGGCTTTGAAGTTTCAAAAGTTCATGTCTTTCCCATTTAGCTTAGTTATCTCTCTCTCTCTCTCTCTCTCTCTCTGTCTCTCTCTCTGTCTCTCTCTCTGTCTCTCTCTCTCTCTCTCTCTCTCTCTCTCTCTCTCTCTCTCCCTCTCTATCTCTGTCATTTGCTTGTAGATCAGATGTAAGCTCTCAGCTATTTCTCCAGTACCATGCTAGTCTGCCCATTGCTATGCTACCTTCCATAATGGCCATGGGCTCTAACCCTCTAGAACTGTGATCCCAAATTAAATGCTTCCTTTTGTGAGTTGTCTTGTACATAGAGTTTTGTCATGGCAATAGTAAAGGAACTAAGAAAACAAGCCTCAGTGAAAAATTCTTTTCCGATACCATGACTGTTCATTCTGGTCTCTTCCCTGATAGAATGCTTCTGCTATGACTCTTCTTGGGGAGTGTGGGAAGATTCTTTCCCTGGCCATACTTGACAAGGTATATTTGAGGATGCAAGGTTCAAAAGAACAAAAACAAAAAAACTTTTCCATAGATGGAATTTTCCTGTTGCTTCACTTTGGAGGCACTGAAAACTGAATCTCTGCTTAGGAAGATGGGGCACATATAGTCTTCACACATTTGCTTCCTGATTGTTTTTCTATACTCCAAAATGAATCCAGTATGAGGCAACAGTTTTAAAAATAGAATTTTGGCTTTACTGTGTTTTACATAAAACCAACACTCTTATTGGAGAGAAAAGTAGGAAGCTTAAATGCATCCTTATTTTTCATCCTATATCATCAAAAGAAGTTTTATCATTCAGCATAGAAGCTTTCTTTGGAAGCAACATAACACATGGATAACTAAAAACTTATGAAACATGTAATAATTTTAATAATCTCAAATATCCTTATCAAGGGATGAAAGAGAGATATTAGTGTTTCCTCTATGCCAGGGTGGTAGAAGAATGGCGGGGAGGCCAGCCACCTCACCCAGGAAGCCAATTTCATGTCATGCATTCCGAGTCTGGTCAGTGGACTAGGAATAGTTCTTATAAAAAAAAGAATTTTGGCAACTGTCTGCAGTGAAAAGTGATCCGAACCAGGCACATTCTTCATGCTTGAAATACCATGTGGCTGTTTCCACCAGATTAACAGACATTACTATGTTTCTCAGCATCCAGCAGTTCCCAACTCTAATTTCCTCTGTGCCTACAGCCTCAACTCCTCAACATGAAGGTGTATAGTACACACAGCAGTGAAGAGGAGTTGAAGGTACTAGAGCCACCAACATGCACGTTTTCCTTCATTTCAAAACATAGAAAGAAGAAAAGGCAATCTTCTAAGAGTAACTTTGATCAAAAGATGGCATATCATCTACCACCATGAGCAAAGGTATCTCCATCAATGACATCGGGAAAAGTCTTAACAAACCTTTGTTGCAGCACCCAAAAACAATTAATGTGCCCTATTTGCAACTTACCTACATTTAGCCTGTGGACGGTGAGTAATGTGTACTCAATAGAAGAAACATTACACAAGTATTCCCCACTGTCTGAAGCACGAAGATCTTTCAATATTAAGGAGAAGTCACTATTATATCTCAGCTCTTTATTCCCTGAGAATTGAGGGTCATTAGTAGCTATGTCCTGTGAAGAGTTCGGATGCCAATCCAAGACAAAGGATGCCCCATTTACTACCTTGGACCAAGAAACTTGGAAGTCTTGATTTAGTAGAGAAAAATTGTGGCTGGTTGTACACCAGAGAGAAATAGAGTCACGTTCAATCTTCTGATGACTACCTAACAACAGAAACAAAAAAGGAAACTCGTAAAGACCAAACTGTTGGGTGGATTTTGTAAATTTCACTTAAGATTAGGAAAGAATACAAGCTACAGTACTGATGTCTGTGGGAAAAGCATTCTCGTGTCTGTATTGTAGAGTTTCACACATGAGAAGCTGCCCAGGTTCTATTTTAAAGTTTCCCTCTAAGGTTATAGTAGATCTTCAAGTTGTGCTGGAGTGGAGTCTTCCAGAGAGGGAAAACTCCGGGAATTTAGCTCTTCTACCCTGAAGAAGCAATCTGGAGCATTGGGCCTGCTGCTAAGCTGGCAATCTGAGGTCAATTCCCAGGAGCCACATGGTGGAAGGAGAGAACCAACTCCTGCAAATTATTTTTTGACTTCCTCATGCTCAATCTAGCATTATGTTGCCCCCAATAAGTAAAATAAAAATGCTTTTAGAGATCAATGTTTAAAACCCAACAATAATCATAGTTAAACTTAATAAGTCTTTTGACTGCAGAGAATCAGGGGCTGTGATCTGCTAAAAGACACATATTCCTGTGCAGGTGGGAAATCCTGTTTGGAGGAGGAATCATAGAAGAATAAACATTCATGGACAGATCTCTAGTGTTTTCACTCAGTGTAAAAGTGCCTACTGAGATACTATTTTATGAATAGGAGCTGATTCTTAGAACCTATGTAGTCAAATTATCCCTTCTGCAGGTTGGTTTTCTTTCTTGTTTCCTTGTAGATCTATCTCCCAGCACCTCCCAGCCTCTAATATAGCACTAATATGTACACAGAAAGTCTAGTGGAACCTACCTGCCAATGTCCACTCTCCTCTCCATGTTTGATTGAGAAGTGAATTTTCAATAGTACACTCAAAAGACGAATTTGATCCTGTAATATTCAGTGTACTACTAATATTAAAAGGGCCTGGAGCTCCGGTTACTTGTGAATCGCTTTCAGAGACATTTGTATTGTCCATTTTCCATATGATATGTGGGCAAGGGTAAACAATCGGAATACTGCATACCAGAAAACTCTCTGTGTTCCTCTTTTCATATTTTATTAAAGGTGTGTGAAAAGCTGCACAAAACAAACAGTGAGTTATGAAGAACTGGGCCATTAGTTTCTTTATCAATACCTTTGTAATAAAAGCTAAATTTTACGAACAAAATCTCTTAATTACTTAAAGAAAAATAACCCCCCCAAAACTAAAGAAGCTGATGATTGTGTATTATTTTCCAGGAAGAATAGAAAGAACATGCATGATACACAAATAATCACTATTCTCTGGACCCTTCTCTGACAAATTTAATGGCCTCACTAAGCAAGGAAGTGGGGTCAAAATCTTTAGAGTTCAGGCAGCACTTTCTGGATTTCTTAGCTACTGAATCAGTCAACTTAAGTTTTATTTTTTAAAGTACAATTTTGAGTCAAGATATAAAACAGTTAAGTGAGTCAGAGAAAGAAAGAGTAAGAATTAAATTTTTAAAAATAAATTAGAAGATATCCCCCTGATACATACAATACTGTAAAACACTCTATTATACAGAACACACTAGCTGTACACACACTTACATACACTCATATTCACTTGCCAGAGTACATAAAAAATGTGATTTTTCTTCCGGTCCACTAATGTAGAGCAAATATTGCAATAAAATAAGTCATATGATTTTTGTGATTTCCTGAAGCATATGAAAGCAGTTCTACATTATTTACAAAGTCACTTACATATGCAATAGTTTTATAATTGCTTTGTTTCATTTGAAACAGATTCTCTTTATGGAGTAGTCTGGCCTCAAGTCATGGATCCTATTTTTTCTTTTTCATTCTTTCTTTCCTTTTTTTCTTTTTTTTTAAGACAGAGTTTCTGGATGTATTTCTAGCTGTCCTGAGACTCACTCCGTAGACCAGGCTATCCTTGAACTCACAGAGATCCTCCTGCCTCTGCCTCCCAATGCTGGGATTAAAGTGTGCCCCACCACCACCTGGCGATAGATCCCATCTTTTCAGCCTCCCTAGTGTTAGAATTATGAGTACATGTCACCACCTTATGTTCTGTGATAACAGCATTATATCTTCAGATCTATTCTCAGCAAATGAGACATCTAAGTTACAACCCTCCTCTCAATGGTCAGTGGCCATAGTAGAAGAAGGGAAGATAGACTGTAAAAATTACAGGTTGTGGAGGACTGAGGTAAAGTAGTGTCTTCTGGACATGACAGAATAATTGTATTCATGAACTTACAAAAGCTATGGTCACCTGCACAAGACCTGCAAAAAATCAAGCCAATTGATATTCCACTTTGGGGAAGGCAAGGCATGAGCCTCCATGCCGGTTGAGGAGCTACTGTTGATGCAGCTAGGGAAGGGATCATTTTCTTTACGAGTATGACCCCCTAGTAGGTTGGCCATGGTCTTGTAGATGGCCCCATACTCATACATATACAGGAAGCACTAATTACGTACGGCGGGTTATTTAGAAAGAAAAAAACAAACAGGAAGTTGGGAAGGGAAAATAGATCCAAGAGAAGTTTAGAAACAGGGAAGGAAATTGGATATGATCAAAATACATTGCAAATTTGTATAAATGAAAACAGTATATATATTTAAAACTAAAAATACCACTGAACTAACAGCAAATTCATAATAGCAGCAAATTTACTGTGAAATAAAGAATACTATCTCAACCATGTCAACATTAACATGCCATATCAATAAGAATTCTTGGTAGTATGATTAATTATGAATAGGCCACAATATTATTTCTATTATTTCTTAAGTTTAAATTGCATTTTAGTTTAATTAAACATAAACTTAACCATTGGCAACCATGAGTACATTAATCAAATAGTATGGTTAGAGTTACAAAACAGTTACTGCAGAGAAGATAAAGTAATGCAATACCAACAGTAACTTCTATTTTATTTCAAAAGGTCCAACTTAGAACCTAGACAACAAAGAGGACCCCAAGAGAGACATACATAGACCTACATAAGAAGGAGAGAAAGACAAGATCTCCTGAGTAAATTGGGAGTGTAGGGGGTCACAGAAGAAGGTAGAAGGGGAGAAAAGGAGGGAAGCAGACAAAAATGTAAAGGTCAATAAAAACAATTAAAAAGGCAACTTAAATTCACTATTTCTTGTCACCATGTTGGAAGAGATGTTTAGGGCTGATAATATTCAGTGCTGTTAGAACTACTAAGGAAATGAATGTACTTGGGCTGCTAATGTTATTGGAATATTAAAACCTTACTTGTGGTATTTTTATTTTAGATAATTTGTCATCATTTTATGTATCTATAAAGACATGCACGATAACAGAGTCTGTGATTAAAAAAAAAAACACCATAGAAGCCCTGAACACTCACCAACATGGGGAATGGATATATGAATCATCACAGGCCCATATTATGAAATATTGTACACTGGGCACTGTCTGTGATATTATACATTGAAATAATGAGATAGATTTGTAGGAAGTGACTTGAAAGTATCTTACCATATTAAGTTCAGAAAAAAAGCTCTTTCAGAATTATATCAAATTATATCATTACACCTTATTAAAATTTGCATGTTCACTTACCTCCCACTTTTAGCACCACTGTGTTTTCAGTATGTGTACTTGTTGTTCCCACGTAGCAGATATAAATTCCTTCATCCTGAAGACTCAATCTTCTGACAGTTAAAGAGGCATTCCCATTGTTAATTTCACTATGAACGAGGGATGTCCTGTGTGCATATCTAAAATGCTGTTTTTCCAATTGGTCCTTACCACTGTAGTAACTATGAACATAGTTATCTTGACTTATCCAGTGAATTACAACTTGAGACCCACTCGTGAACAGGCAAGGGAGAATGACATCTTCATCATATCTTCCAAGAATGAGTTGCTCATTATTACGGTTACGGTGACTGAAGAGGACTGGGAGGAATGTGTCTAATATGCAGAGCAGAGACAAAATGAACAGGTTAGTGGCAAGTGCTTGTCAGGGTTTATGTCAGGACTTCCTGAGAGAACCTCCTAGAAAAACAGCCTGACCACATCTCAAGAAGCTCTGGTTTGCTAGTCATTGGAAACAAACCCTGACTCTGTGACAGAGTATCTTCCCTTTCAGTTGAATTCAGTCAAAATAACTATGAGATTGGCAAAATCCAAGACTTAAGCATATTAGCTTGTGACCCTCTTGACCAGCAGTCTGCCTCTCTCCAAATCACTGCTGTGGTACTGGGAAGAGTGAATTCATAAGAATTCATCTTTGATATCTACTGCAATATTAGTAGGTTTTGAAGCTAACTAGATCCAGAAGACCCTAAAACTAGGGAGAAATTAGTTTTACTTAGTCAATAAGTATGTGGAGAATTTAGAAGACAATCCTGGGTTCAACAGTCAGTTAGTAATCTGGAAGATAGTCTCAATCCAAGAGGACACAAACAGGAGACCAAAAAAAGAGAAATGAAGTATTTCATTGACTCTGGCTTTAAAACTGTACTAGTGCTTTTTCGTCATCATGAGAAGACACCTGCTAAGAGCAACCTAAGGGAGGAAATATTTATTTGAGCTCATTGTCTCAGAAGGTTCAGTTCATCCTGAATGACTTGATTGTTTCCAGAGCAGTGGTGAGGCAGATCATCATGATGGTGGAAGCATCTGGCAGAGACAGAGAAAAGGAGAGGAGACAAAAGCAAGGTATGGCTCCCAAGGAGATCCACAATGACCTACTTCCTTCAGCTAAGGCTCTGCTCAGTATGTTCTGGACAATGACCTGCAATAGCCGTACCTTTCGGGTTCAATTAAGTGACTATTAAGCATGTAGCAAACAGAAGTAAAAGAACAAATAGCAAGCAGCGGGTAGATATAATCTGAAGACAGAGAGCAAAGCACCATCTTTCATGTGCTTAAAGCATTAAGCAGAAATAACCAGAGCAGCCTGAGTGAGAGAGAAACAAAGGTAACACCCTCAAATCACTGTCTGAGTTCCCCGCTGACAGTCTCCACATTGATAAACTTCTAGCTTCCTGTTCCCACTGGAAGTATTTTATTTTTTTTTTATCTCAGGATAAACAATAGCAATGTCTGGGAGGCCTGGTTTGGCTTTTATGTGTTCTCAAGAACACAATGTTTTGATGTGTTTATCTGTTTGCTCCCCACCCATATTTCCTATTACAGAGAGCCAAGTGGCCAGCCTAACTCAGCCCAGGATTTTAGAGGTTGCATGATAAAACCATGCTTGAGTCTTACAAGAGGCACGGCTCCACAGTCTCAGAACCTGCTTTCAAAAATTTAAGTAGCACATTGCTAGATCCAGGAAGTTCATATATCCAGAAAGGAGCTCACACTGGACTACCGAAGGATTTCTGCTGGTTAAATAAAAGCCAGCATTGTTCAGGAACTTGTGAAATCAATTGCCATCTTCTAAAAGGGATCATGTCCCTTACCTCTGGCAGAAGGAACAGGTGGCTCTCTATGTACATGTACATGTGGTTGCATATCAAAACCCATGCTGGCCCCCAGGCTCCCTCAGTCTCTACTCACAACTACTTTTTATAAATTTCAAAGCCCACGATAGGCTCCTGGACTTCCCTCTCAAGTGCCCAGGTACTCATTCTCTTTATAACCCAGCCACTCTTCTCTCTCTCTTGCTGTCTCCTGGCTCTCATGCTGTCTCGCGTTATCTCACTGTCTCCACCAGTCTCTCCTGATGCTCTTCTGTCTCTCACAGATAGTGCTGGCCATTCACTCTCCTCCTCTTTCGCTCCACTCTGGACTCTTGCATATGCCTCTGGATATATTCTCTCTTTCATTCACAACAACGCTACCCCCTTAACCATTCAACGGAAGAGCCATTTTGTTGGTTTCTTTTCTACACCTCCTGACATACACACGTGACGATTTTCCAACATGTGTTACAGTCCCCACCTCCTGAGTTTCCAGAACTTTTCAAAATAACACTAGTAACTGGAAGCCAAATATTTAACATGGAGTCTGTGAGGGACAATTCACATTCAAATCATAGTAAGACAAAACTCACAATACTCTATGAGTCAGACAAATGAAACTTGGGGAATATAATTCTGGATATAAGTGTAAAATTCTAATAGTCTTGAATTATTGAATTTGACTGTTGTTTTATTGTGAATGTGAGATTTCAAAAGTCAAAATAACTGTAATGAAGACATGCCTAATCATATCACATCATTGAAAATTGTGTCTACTTCTTTGACTAATCATAAAAAATGTAAGTAGGTCCTATTTTCTTTGCTGAATTCTGAGATATTAAGGTGAGAAAGAACCTTCTATTATGGATAATGGAATAAAGCCTTTTGGACTTTTGTCAATGTTGTCTAAGACTGAACAGCTGAGCACTGGCAAGACTGTCTTTTGCCTTTGTTCTTTGTCCACTCCCTTGTGGATGTTTCTCTCTGACCATGCTTTATTTTATTGTTCTTTCTCAGAGAGGCATAGAGTCTCTGAAGCAAATGCAAGAGATGTGGCATTATGTTAAAAAAAAAACACGTGGAACAGTTAAGGAAGGAAAGAAGTGACTGTTGATTCTCTAACTGTACTGCCCTACCTCTCTACTCCCCACTACAAATGGGACCACATGAAACCGCAAACCTTCTGTACAGCAAAGAACACAATCAGTGAGTAAAGAGACAGCCTACTGAATGAAGAAAATCGTTACCAATTAAGAGTCTTACAGAAGGTTGGTGTCTAGAATATACAAATAACTAAAAAAAAAAATGAAACCTCAAGGAAACAAACAGTGAAATCTTAAAATGGGGCATGCAAGTAACTCAATGTAGAGTTTGTTAAAGATGAAATAGAAATTTCTTCTAAATTAAGAAATTAAAAAAAATGTTCAGCATCTTTTGCCATCAAGAAAATGCAAATTAAAACTACTTTGAGATTTTGTTTTACTTAGATCAGAATAGCCAAGAGTTAAGAAAAACTAGACAGGAAATGCTGACACGGATAATGAGAAAGGGGAACGTTTATTCACCACTGCTAGGAGTGCAAAATGATATAGCCATCATGGAAATCAGTGAGAGTTTCCTCAAAAAAACTAGAAATAGATTTACCCCATGTTCCAACTCTACCTCCTTTGCACAGATGCTCAAGGTCACTGCATCTTACTACAGAGATATTTGTTCTTCAGTAGTCATTGCTCCTTTATTCACAATAGCCAGGAAATGAAAACAGCCTAGGTGTCCACTGTTTGATGAATGGGGAGTGAAAATAGTGCATATTTATATAACCAAATATTATTGAGCTGCATGAACACAGCCCTAGAACGACTCCTAATCGCATACTGCTATAACCATAGATCAGCACATCACTCAGCTCTCATCTCTAAGCTGGGTGTGGCAATGGAGAGGGTGGAAATGAGAGGAGTTGGAGAATTGAATATGATCAAAGTGTGTTGTGTGCAATTCTCGAGGAATTAATTAAAATGTCTAAAACAAAAGAACAAAAAGTAAAGCTTCACTCTGGAGTCTGCTTGGATTATAGTCTTTTGAATGGCTGCCTTGTAAGCAGCTATTTTGAGGTGGGTTTTGTACATTCAATGGGTTATGTACCTGTGATATTCAGCAGTAAAACTGTGCATCTATATCATATATATTTATAAATGGTAAAGCTGTATATGTTTCATGTGTGCAAAGAGACCTGGAAAGGCTGTTTTCACTATATTCAGATGCAGAACCTGGCATCTGGATTGTTATTTAAACCAACCCCCTCTGTGGGGCTGGAGAGATGGCTGATGGGTCCTCTTCCTGAGGACCTGGGTTCAATTGTCAGCACCCACATGTTGGCTCACAACTGTCTGTGACTACAATTTCAGGGTACCCAAATACCCTACACGGGCATGCAAAACACAAATGCACATAAAAATGAAAATAAATAAATAACAATATTTTTTTTTAAAAAAAAACCCTCTGTATCCATTTGTCCTGACTAAATAACAGCTTTACCAGTACTGACACACAGAGACCAAAGCACAAGACCTGCCTAGGTCCCAGCTAGACAGGGTTGGAATGCTGAGAAGGGGACATGAACACAAGCTCCATCCCTAACCAAGAAACTATCTCCAATTGATAACTCTAGCAAGGGAAAAATCAGTTTTCTCCAATAGAATCTCAGTGGAAATACAAACCACATTTTAAGGCTGGCTCCAAGTCCAGCAATAGATAGCCAAAAAGAACTCAATGGTATTTTTGGAGTATTTTTTAGTTGTTGTTATTTTGTTTTTGTCTTATATTGCTTTGTTTGAATGTTTTTCTTTAACCTTACTGGTCTTTTGCTTGTATATTATGGTTTTTAACTTGGTGTTTTCAATGGGTTTTGTGTGTGTATGTGTGTGTAGATGTGTTTCTCATACTTATTCTTTGTTTTAGTCATTTATTATTACTATTGTGATTAATATTTCTTGTTCTTTTTTTTTCGTTTTTTAATAAAGAGAGAGAAAGAAGATGTAGAGTTCAGCTCTATTTGTGAGGCTGAAGCGGCCCTCTGAAAACTTTGGGTTGCTCTGCAAACTGAGGGTCATGTTTTAGATAACCCCCTGGCCACTCATGTTCAGCAATTGATGTGAGCTGAGTTAACTTTTAAGTGATGGGATGTACATGACTTTTGACTTTTTGCTTGTGCATTTTCCCATACCCTTCCCTGCCACGCGAAATTAGCAGTGTTGGGGGAGATGCAGAGCCTCTGTAAGCACTGTCAGGGAACACCAGGGGAAAACAATGGACTAAATACAAACACTATGTTGATGGAAATTGCAAAGAAGGGCAATTTGTGTCTAAGTTTTACCTCAAGATTTTAAAAATTCCTTTGCTATTGCCTAATGCTTGTTGCTTCTTAATATAAAAAGGGAAGGTTCAAAAGCTGTCCTTTGCCACAACCTTACAAATCCATCTCTGAGTGTGAGCTCAGCTAGCTGATAAGCATTTGTGCTCCATGGAGATTTAATTTTTAATTTCTTTTCTTGGAATAAAGTTTGCTTCTAGTTTACTAGACTTTGGTGGTCAGCCATCTTTACGTAAGCCCTCTCCTCCTCCCCCAAACACACCATGAACCCAACATGTGTAACTGAAACCTTTCTCTAAATCTGTAAGAAGTCAAAAATTTTAGTTTTTGCCAGTGTGATAGCCCTATTATTGTATTCGACTGAAAGTTCTGAATTTAACTTGCCTAGTAAAGCTGATTTGGTATGTAAAGGACTTTTGTGTGCTTCTGCTATGATGCTAATTGCTGTTGGCGCTTTCTTCTGTGTGTGATAAACCTTCTAAGATTCGATCTTTATGAAAACAGTTTATCTAGATGGCATTCTCTAAAAGGAAAATGATAATGATGGTTTTTAAAAAAAGAATGTCGATGATAAAACCTTGGAAATGTTTCAAGCTTGGGTACCGAACTTCCACTCTGACACTGCATCAGTCAAACATTCTTTTCTAGTGATGTTAGTAGCTGATAACATATTAGAGAGCTAGAAATAGAGCACAGAGAGGAAAATGTGGCTTTTAATATTAGTGTATACTTCGGAGCTGCTGTTTCTGCTAAGACACAAACTGATCACTCAGGAAAGCAAGCCCCCAGGGCTGCGGAGATATAGTTTAAGTCCCCTCAGCTGAAATCAGAGCTGGTTCTGACTTCTGCAGATTCAGGGTATTTGAGCATACATAGTGAGATGACTGGGGAAAGGACCCCAATGTAAGTACCACTCACTTACATATGGAGATCCAAAAGTGTGAGCCTGCTGCCACCTTGTCTGATCGCCAGAGTTTGGAGGTTGCTCAAAATGGTTGACAAGTGTAGCTACACATTCTGACTCAGGAAGTGGTTACCTGGTTCTTTTGACGTTAAGATGGCTCATACAAGTAGGTCCATTCCATCCTGACAGATGGTCAGGTAATGCAAGCATAATTTTGGTCCTTCTTTTGTAATTGGAGATTACCTGGGGAATGGCTGCCTTCTGCCTTCAGATTACTTGGTCTAGAGTGGCTTCACTACCTAAACGACCGAATGTTGATGATTTGATGCTTCAAAGTGTTAAAGCAATTAACTTTTCGAGTTGTCCTTTGTACCATGTTAAAGAAGCCTCTTTTTTTTTTTTGCCCTCTTCCCCCTTTTGTACTGAGCTATAAAAGCATATGGAAAATTAAACACACAGGCAATTTCAGTTTTCACTGGGATACCCTCCCAACACTATTCTATAGTTTCTGTTTTATTATTTTTCATGCATATTCATATTCTTTACTAATTTTTCTAAATCCTCACACCCCTTCCCTGGTAAGTGGTATTTTTGTTGAGGCTGGTCCCCAACACTTACACTCTGTGTACACATTATACACGTAACCTAATGGAAAACTTTTATCTGTATTTTCACTGTCACCTGTCACATGAAGTCCCAACTGTGGTGTCGTGTCAATGCTCAAAATAGTTTAGATTTTGGAGCTGTTTGAATAAGGAATGTACAATTCATATCCAATTTATTTTTGTGCTACTGTTAATCTCAAGTGATACGAATAACTAACACCCGCATTACAAAAGAAGTTACCAAAAGATCCACAAGGGTACAATGTGACAGCAAAGAAGATACACCGCAGTGCCTGTGCCTTCATGTCTTGTGGAGGTCATATTAACTGTGCTGCTGAAAAACAGAAAAGAATTCACATTATGAATTGTAACTTCAGAAGAACCATAGTATACACTTGAAAAGAATTACAGTGTCTGACTCCAGGAGATTAAGTTATTATACAATCATACTAATAATTTGCTGTAGCCATTACACACAATATTATTCAGTTCAGTGGCATTGAATCCCTTCCTGCGGCATAGGAGAAAACTCAATTATAATACAACTTGAAACACTGTGCTCCTGTTTTTTATTTGTTTGTTTGAAGAACACGCCTTTGTGCATAGAAGACAGTAGCAGGATCCATCACCAAATCTACACGACGATGTTAACGCTAAAGGGTGGACTTGTCACCCAGAGCTGGGTGTGCGGTGTGTTAGTCACTGATAAATGGCTGCTGAATAAATAGGGATTTGACAGGGATCCTGTGGTGGCTCTCTAGACAATAGCTGTTATTTATGAAGCCTTCTACAGGGTTTTTATAGTAAAATAAACTAAGACTAAACTCAATTCAATAGTAAATGCCTATGATAGCTATGGCGTTGTTTATAATCATTCATAAAAACAGTCCAAGGATGCACATCACAAGGCTGCTGTTAAAAAGGGGCCTGGGGACAACACACAGTGTCTGTGGTTACAGTGAGGGATGTTGCTCATAGTCTCGGATGTTTGAACACTTGGTCTCCAGTTGGGGGTCCTATTTGGGGAAGCTTATTTGGTGTGGACTTGCTAGAGGAAAAGGAAGTATGTCACTGGTTAGTGTATGGAGTTTGAGAGTTTATAGTCTGGCCTCACTTCCAGCCCTTTCTCCCACTTCATTCTTGTCGTTAAAGAAATGATCTCTTAGCTTTCTGTTTCTGCTGCCGTGCCTGTCACATGACTCCCCACCATGATGGACATTTATCCCTCTGGAACCGTAAGCCCAAATGTGTTCTTTCTTTCGTAAGTTGCTTCTGGTCATGGTGTGTTATTACAGCTACAGACAAGTGTCTAATACAGATGATTGCTTACTTGTCCACACACAACATAGTTTCACATAAAATAGAACTGATTTTCTTGAATGATGGGATTAGAGTTAATTTTTCTCTTTGAGAAGCAGCATCTTTAAGAATAGCCTATAATTTGTTTTAAAATCACTAGAAGATTTTGAAGAATCATTTGACAGTTCTACAATTGAGAATACTTTAAATGTGCCATATGATATAAAATTTTAGAATGATTAGAATTATTCTAAAAATTTAAATTAGACTCCTCCATCAAAACAAAACCCAGTAGCATAATAATTTATAGTTTTAATTTTACATTTTAAAGAGTGGAAGGAAATAATTGAATTTGCAACTTTGCGAAGAGTTTCTTCAACTTGACTCATTTTCTGACTTTCTATTAAAATGTGTTCATTTTCTATTAAGCTTGTTCATTTTTATTAAAATATAGCTGCATAAAAATCAGAAAAGCAATATAGACAAAAAATGCTAAAATATAATCAGAGTGAACATTTGCAGCAGGACTAAGGTGTTATCTATCAGCTTCTATCCCTTCAAAGCAAAATATTTGGTAAAATGAAAACTTAAAAAATAGCATTAGTTAAAAAATAAGGTATATTTCTTCTTACAGACCTAATTACATGTGCAAGGTATGAATAAGTACTATATCACAATGACAATCTGTATGAAAATATCAGTAAACTCATATTTTTTAAGATTTATTAATTTTCATTTTACCTGTTTAATGCCTATGTGTGTGTGTGTACCTACCTATTTTTCACCTCAGTAATCCTTAAAAAAAAAAATCGACTAAGTAACTGTCTCCATTTTTCCCTTTTTAGGCTCACCTTAATCTATCCTGTCTTTCTCTTTGTAGGCCATATCAAAATTGACCTTTGTCACTGTCATGAAGAACTCCCATCTGATATCATGCCCTCTTACTCAGTCCCAGAGTGCCATAGCACAGTTGACTGCTAACTCTCCCAACCCTCCCCCGCATCCCCGCCATCTCACTTATGCCTGAAAGGCTGCTTCAAGGTACTGTTTTCCCTGCTTTTCCTTCTATTGGATCCCTTGGTCCTTTTCTGGTTCTTCTCTGCTTGTCCTGATTGTGTGGAAATAGGGAGTGTTCCCAAGCTTTCTTCTACCCATGCCCTCCGTAAATGAGTTCCTTTATTCCATGGAAATGCAAGCTGTCAGAACCAAGGATTCTAAAACTTCTCCTGTGAACCAAGCCTTTTCACAAAGTCAGTTTGAGCCTGAGATATGTGCTTTATCCCTTTCATTTGGCTCCATTCTCAACAAAACCAAATGGTAAGAATTATCATGTACTCCCTCGAGTATTCATCCTCATAAGTGATATCAAATTCTTCCATTGTTTAAGCCAAAAACTAAGCTTCTTTCTTCCAGCCCCTCAAGCCCACATCAAGTCCATTGGCCAGTCTGCTGTCTTCTTCTCTCCCATTCCTCTGTAATAATGCGACTCAAAGCACTACTGGCTCGTATGTGGAAATCTAAAAATAGACATCTGGATGCTAATCCTTGTCTGCCCTTGCCTCCTTATAGATCACTGTCAACACAACAGTCAAGAATCATCTTTTTCAAATATATAAGTCATTCTGTGACATTATCCTAATTAAATCCCACAGTGGCTTCCCACCACCAAGATGAAGATTTAAATTCTTCCTCCTGCACAGTAAGCTCCCCATGCTCTGCTTTCTTCCTTCTTCAGCCTCCCCCACAGCATCCAATAGTGTATATTCTCAGAGACTCATGAACGCAAGTACTCCAGTCTAAGGGTCAGCATAAGCATGAACTGAAAATTGGGTCCTTGAGACAATTTAATTCATGTATTTTAAATAAAATGACTAATTACAGTAACCTACTTATCATCTAAGATAAAGCGGCATGAATAAAGTACACAAAAGCTTGATTTAACACTATAGAAATAGTTTCAGCATTCAGCTAAGTGAGGCAGACAGTTAATGAGTATTTGGCCCTATTTTTATGCCTAGGTTTTATTTTTAGACATTTATTTTTTTTTTCCCCTCAAAGCAGCAGAAAGCATCTACCTTGGATGAAGCTGGTTGTCCAAGTTGCAATCAGCAGGCTTACAAAAGGGTTCAAATGTTAGAAGCAGTTTGTTCTAGTACACTCTGACTAGGTTCCAGATGTGAAAGAGAAAAGCATTAGCCAGCCTCTGGAAAGAACATGAGCAAAGGGAATCCAGATGCTAAAGGCTATCCATCAGAGGAGAAAGCTGAAGCTATTGCCACAACTGGAACATAAGGGTGAGAGAAGAGTTAGCCCTGTGCTCGTCTTAGCAGCTACAGACCAAAGCAATAGGTACTGTCAGTAGCAGATGACAGTGATGCCACACATCACTTGGGGCCAGACCAGAGGCTTGAACCTATACATTGCAAATGCAGGCCAGTACTGGTCTCCAGCCAGCAAGTCAGCAGCTCTATTCTGAAAAAGTGCAGTACATCACACATCACGAGGCCAGTCAGCTTTCTGAGTTCCTTTGAGAAAAAGGCAGATTCCAGGATACTTCCTCCTCCTCTGCATTTTTAAAAATTTCACTGTCTTTCCACAGGGCCCATGGCACTGAGCCAATTTGTAAAAGAAATGGAAACAGAAGGGCAAACTCTTTGTAGCATCCTGGGGATTTCTCCTTAGCGTCAACTTAGATTTTAATAGTATTGCCTTTGTTTAGACAGAATAAGAACAAAGAATAGGACTAGGATTGCCTCCTCTTTATGCAAATATCTCCCCTGATGTTTTACAGCAGAACTCCACCACACAGGGGACTCATACATTAAATTGAAAGTCTGAATCTCTAGGGGGTACCATTATTGCCTTAGGATCTATTGGTTGAGATTTCTGTTTTGTTTTGTGTTGGAAACCAGGTGAAGAGTCCACACTGATGCCTTCTGGGTAAGATGGAGAGGCAGAATTATTGAGCAATAAGGGTGTAAGAAAGGGGAAATTAAGCAAGAGCGGAAAGTAGATGCAAGATGATGACTGTCTTTTTGGCAACCAGAAAAGCAAAGAGCCACTGGCTCAGCTAAAAAGCTCTAAGGACCACAGCACCTAGAATCTCAGGACGGGCACACTGGTAAATTCTTCCTATGGCCAGAGGAACTTCAATTTTCTTTCTGGTTGTATACCTCACCTCTTGGGACAGCCACTAAGGAAGCAAGATGCTTTGGTTTATGTATGGCATACGTGTGTGTGTGTGTGTGTGCGCGCGCGCGTGTGAGCGCGTACGCACACGCGCACATGTGGCTGCTGGGGCCCACAGAGTCCAGAGGTGTTGGTTTCCCTTGGTGCTGGGATTAGGTAGTTGTGAGATGCCTGGCATGTGTGCTGAGAATCAAACTCTGGAAAAGCAGTTTGTGCTCTTCAGCCATGAGCCGTCTCCCTAGCCCTACTGTATGGAATCTTAACCATAAGGCACACTGCGCTACTCTAGAGGGTGGGGAGCCGCAATCTTGATGAGTCTCTCTGAGGCAGGTCTAGACTGTACTGACTGCAGCTTCCCCTGTGGAGAATCCAGTGGAGGACCTGCTGAAATTGGTGAGCCAGGGTCTGATGAGGACACATAGAAATGTGGCAGTTCAACTCAGACTTGGACTTTTTTTCCCCCCCTTAATCACCCCTCAACAAGGTAAGGACCCAAGAGACAATCCATATCAAATGTGGTAAACTGAGTACAATCAAAGTACCCATTTTTTTTAAAAGTTCTGCATTAAGATGTGAATTATTTGGGAAGAGGAACTTTAGCTAAGAAATATGCACCACCAGATTGACCTTTGGTGCATCTTTTGTTGATGACTGATGGAGGAGGGCCCAGTTCACTGTGGGTGGTACTACTCCCTGGGTGGGGTGGGTGTACAAGAAAGCAAGCTGAGCAAGCCAACAAGCAGCATCTTCTTTGGTCTCTGGCTCAGTTCCTGTCTCCAGGTTCCACCTTGATTTCCTTCCCTCTCAGTTAACGGGCTGTGACTAGAATTTGTGAGAGCCGAATAA